TTTTACCCACCTCGGGCCCTCTACCCAGATGAAGGATACAGGGACTGTAGATCAGAGAAACAGCCCTGGGATAAAGCTTCTCTGGAAAGAGCGGTCACCGCCACTCTGAGGGTCGTCTCCCCTCTGCTCCGTGGAGAGCCACTGGCTGGGGGTAGGGTGGGGGGGACAGCTGCTGCTCCCCTGCCCCACCCCCACCCCCACCCTCTGCAGGAGCCTGGGGCTCCTGGCGCCAGAGGCAGAATCCTTGGAAAGAGGGAAGGGGTTTCGGCCTGGGGTCCAGGAGTCCGTTGCCCAGATCCCTGGACTGATGGGCAGTCGGAGCCGGCATGGGGTGGACTGACAGAAGGTCATAAGCTAAGGAGGACCAGGGGCGGGAGGCTTTGGCACAGAGCCCTCAGCTCAGAAAGCTGGTCCGGGGAGTGGTCCTGAGGAAGCCATGACCTGCCAGTCACTGAACTGGGCAGGGTTCCGGGATCTCTCCATCAGAATCTCAAGTGTCCTGACCAAGTGATCACCAGTGTTTCAGTGTATATGCACACATGCAAGTAGAAATGTGCATTATGTATTCCTATCCCATATCACGGCATATATTATGTCGTTGTTGTTCAGTCGCCAAGTTGAGTTCGACTCTTTGCCACCCCATGGACTGCAGCACACCAGGCTTCCCTGTCCATCACCATCTCCTGCAGTTTGCCCAAGTTCATGTCCATTGAGTCGGTGATGCCATCCAACCATCTCATCCTCTGTTGCTCCCTTCTCCTTCTGCCTTCAGTCTTACCCAGCATCACCTCAGGGCTTGTGAGATCTTAGTTCCCTGACCAGGTATTGAACCCTCGCCCCTTAGAATGGAAGTGCAGAATCTTAACCACTGGAAAGTGAAAGTGAAAGTCGCTCAGTTGTGTCTGACTCTTTGCAACCCCATGGACTGTAGCCCACCAGTTTCCTCTGTCCATGGAATTCTCCAGGCCAGAATACTAGAGTGGGCAGCTGTTCCCTTCTCCAGGGGATCTTCCCAACCCAGAGACTGAACCCAGGTCTCCCACATTACAGGCAGATTCTTTACCATCTGAGCTACCAAGGAAGCCCCTTGACCACTGGACCATCAGGGAAGTCTGGCGTATTCTGTAGATAGATAGCAAATATAGAATGCATGGGTTCACCCAGGGAAGGATACGTGGATTGTTTCTGGTATTTAGATTTTATAAATAAAGCTTCTATGAACACTTGTGTCCAGAGTTTAGGGTGGACAAATACCCTCATTTCTCTGGGATACATGGTCAGCACCATGATTGCTGGTCATATAACTAGATCCTTAGATTTTTAAGGAGCTGCCAAACTATTTTCTGGAGAATTTGTCCCATTTGTTGTATTTCCCAGAGAAGTGTATTAAAAATCCTTTATAGGATCTAGTATTGTCAGACTAATATTGTCTAGTATTGATCAGTATTGTCAGTATTGTTCTAAGATGTGTAGTAATATCTCAGTGTGGTTTTAGTACACGTTTCCCTAACATATGAAGGTGTTGCAAGTATATTAATCTGCCCACTTGCCATCACCGACGTGATGGACATGAGTATGAGTAAACTCCAGGAGTTGATGATGGACAGGGAGGCCTGGCATGTTGCAGTCCATGGAGTTGAAAAGAGTCAGACACAACTGAGCGACTGAACTGACTTGCCATCTATTTATCCTCTTTGCTGAAGGATCTGTCTTTTGTCCATTTTCTACTTGAATTAGTTGCACTTTTATATTGAAGATTATTTAAGTCTTTATTGAATTTGTTACAATATTGCTTCTGTTTTATTTTTTTGTTTTTGTTTTTTTTTGGGGGGGGGTTTGGTCACAAGGCATGTGGAATCTTAACCCCTGACCGGGGATCAAGCCTGCACCCCTCGAGTGGGATGGTGGAGTCTCAACACCTGGACTACCAGGGAGGTCACTTACTGTCAAATTTTGAGAATTGCTTGTGAGTCCCTTGTCAGATATGTGTTGTAAATATATCCAATATATCCTCCCAGTCTGTATCTTGATGTTTCATTCTCTTATCAAGGTCTTTTGTGGAGCCAAAGTTTTAGGTTTTGATGAAGTCTAATTTATAAAAACTTTCATTTGTGGATCATGGCTTATGGTAATATCTAAACAACTTTATGCTGGCTACTTTTGGCTAGAGGAAACAAGATTTTCTTAGGTTTTAAAACCAGTATCAGCTATTGTTTGGGGACTGCAAACTTTTTAGTGCCTCACTCAGGATAAGCAGGCAGCAAAAGGGAAACTCTGGCACTCACCATGAAGCTGTTTTCTGAGGACCTGGTTTCCTAGTCAGTTGTGTTTCCTTTGCTTCCATCCAGAGTCATATGATTATTTTATATATAATGTCTGTGTTTTTCAGCTGTACTTAGTGGGGGTGAGGGCGTTAGGAAGATGTCTGTCTATTCCATTTTGTCTGGAACCAGAGTTGGTTTATAGCATTTTGATTCTGCTGTTTCATCTGCATATTCTTTATTCTGGCAATACTTAAAAAAAAATTTTCATGTTCTTGGCCATGCCATACAACATGTGGGATCTTAGTTCCCCAACCAGGGATCAAACACATGTCCCTTGTCTTGGAAGCCCAGAGTCTTAACCACTGGATTGTTCAGGAAGTCTCAATAGTTTGGAAATAGTTTGATAACATTTTAAGAATGTTAATATTTGAAGCAGAATTATATTAGTACTGAGTTTTTGTGGAGAAAGTATTTTCTGGAGCAAGTCTGATTAAATTTCTTTAAAATTAAAATAGAAACACTTGAAGCAATAAGCTTCCATATAGCAAGTTGGTCAAGGAAGTATTTGAGCAAAATTATTTTCATCAATTCTCTTCCAAGTAAATTTTGCAGTCAAGCTTTTATTCACAGACCCGTTTTCTTTTGTCAACATATATTCTTAAAATTAATTTTAGTGTTTGCTACTGTACACTTTTTATTGCAATCTTCATAACTTCCAATTCTGATACTTTCTAGATCATTTTTACAGATGTAGGTCTGCCAAGAAATTTTGATTCTTTTGACAATTTGGCCTTATGCATTTTAACCATTGTCACTTTTATTTTGGGCTTATTTGTTTCTGCTGTAAGACTCATTACAAATAGAATGAAGTGTCGGTCTCTCATCTTTATTTGTTAGTTGATTCTTGAGGAAAAAATACTTCCCCCAGATAGGGGTGACCTAGGTCTGAGTGTGGAGCCAGCTGTGAGGGTGAGCGGCCTCCTGGGTGAGGAAGGAGGAGGAGGTAGGGATGGGTTTGGTCTCTAAGTCAGTGGGGAAGGGGCCGGAGGGGTGGTGGTGGTGGAGAGGGAGGAGGCGCACCTTTCTCTGAGCAGGTGAACCTCGGGCACTGCAGGAAGCTGGTGCCTTTGACGGCATGGGGAAACCCATACTTTCAGGGTCACTTTCTCAACCCCCAGCTTTCTCTCCCACAGCGTCTCCAGTGAGGTGCTCATGTGCCTTCACTTTGCAGAGGTACGTCCCTTCCTGCACCACGGCACTGTCCTGTGGCCTGCCACTCCGGGGGGGGGGGGTCCCTCCAAGTCCTTATTATCCAGACTATGCCTTCACCAGGCAGGTCAGCTTTAATGGCGGCCTCAGAAGCTTGTGGAACAGAGTCAGGGACTTCTCTGCACTCAGAAAACCTCTCACTCTAATCAGGAGGGGGAGTCTCTATGCACGCGCGATGCTGCCCACAGACATTTCCCTGGCAGAGTCGCCGTGATGGTCAGCAGAGCTGCCCAGCCGGGTCGTCAGAGGAGGGCTTGTCTGCCACATGCTCACTGGGGAGAAGCTGCCTCCCAGGGTGACTAGCACCAAGGAAAAGGAGCTGCTCTGCAGAACAAGGACGCAGCCAACGCATGCGAGCTTCCCGCGGGCCACCGGCGCTGAACCGTGATCGAACCATCTCTGCCAGCCTGGCCAAAAGAGGCAGGCGGTTTCAAAGGCCAGAGCTCCCTTGAAGAAGTGCTCTTTCTTGCTCGTGTGTTTTTTCCTGGCACCGTGGATGGGCTGCCTGAAATAGGAGGAGGCAATGCCAGGTGTGAAGGGACAGACCCAGCAAGCTCTCCTCGAGCTGCCTCTGTGAGCCGAGTCACGGCGCTAGCAGCCGAGGTTCCTCGGCTCCAGGAACGGGGGAAGCTTGCTGAGGGTGAACACTTTTGGGGCCCGCACAGCAACACATGGCTTTCCTGCCCTTTGGTGGAAAGGAAAACGGAGGCGACCCCTTGGGCTCCTCTGATGAGGTGGGAGAAGCAGGGTTAGGGTCCCGGTGTTGGCAGAGGCCCAGGAACCATTTCTGGGATGGTCTGCCACCCAGCACGGGAGGGTCTCGAGTGGAGGAGACAGAAGCCGTGAGGGGATGAGAACCCTTGGGTTCAGGCCCTGGTGCTAAAATGCACAGTTGTGGGCCTCACACATGTTTCGTTAACCTCCACTTCCTTATCTGAAAAATGGGAATAATAACCCCTGCCTTCCTTCCCAGAGTTATGAGAATCAAATGAGAAAATATGGGCAGCTGTAAAAATATAAAGCCGTCGTATTTGCATTCACCAATTCCTTAAGGAAATGGGGCCAGAGTTGAGGGGCAGGCCAGACCCTCTTCCATAGAGAACTTTACAATCCAGTCCTAAGACCATAATGTGTCTCAAACATTATGAATTTAGGAAATGCCTTTTCAATCTGGTGAAGAAACTAAGACGGCTCCAGTGATGGTAAAAGCTGAGGCCACAGCCGCAGAGCCGGCGACAGCTTTCGGTTGAAAAACAAACCACCCGAACGCTTCCCACCGAGACCCTGACGTGGAAACAGCCAGCGCTGGAGAGATGATAAATGCCTCTGGGGTTTCCCAGCCTGGGGGAGTTGGCCTTGCTAGGGCTTGTAAAAGCCTCCTTAACCTGGAGAAGGAAGCCTGGGCTTGTCTGCGTTTCCCACAAGAGCCCTCTGGCCCCACCTCCCCGCTCACTGGTGTGAACTCACGACCACAGCGGAAGCCTTCCCAGGAAAAGAAACACAGGGGCCTCCGTGACTGGCGGTCCTGCAGGACGACGCTCGTCCACCGGGGCTCCTGGTGGAGCCGGAGCCCTGCCGGCCAGCAGCGCGGGCCTGGGAGAGAGACAGGACACCATCGGTCACAGCCCCGCCTCCGCTCAGGAGAGGAGGCCGCAGATGCGCCCGGCCCATCAGGCCAGTGGCACACAGCCAGTGCCTGTGGGGCCCCCGTGGGGCCGAAGCGACCAGGCGCCCCATGGCTCTGAGATGAGCTTCTGAGAGTGCCCGGAACAGAGCTCTTTCCCGGGACAGGAAGGTGCTGGTCCCGGTCGCCTCTTGCCTTGGCAGCATCCTTGTTAGCTTGGGGCTCATTGAAGGTGTGCACTTACCTTTTTCCCTACTATTCCATTTAAATGAAGAAGGTCGGCTTGCTGCCAGATTCTACAGGAACGTTCTCGGCCACGTTTAATAATAGGAAGATCAACTTTGACCCTGATGACTTCATGAGCGTTTCTTACAAATGAGGTTCCAGGGTCCAGATATGGCCTCCTTCCTGCTGTGAATGTTCATTAGCAACCTGTCAGGGAGATGGAAGTCGTTTCTCAGGGAGCGGCTGGGATGTCTTGGCGTCTGTCCCTGTGGCAGCCCAGAAGCGCCTCTGGGTGGGGGCTGGGGAGGATGGCCCCGAGCTACGGGTCTGCGGTGCCCGCCTCCCTCCCAAGTTCCATCACTGCCCGTGAGGGCCTAGCCAGGCTCCGCCTATCCACAGCCACGCCCGCCACCCTGTTTGCAGCAGGGATGGAAGTGGGGATTAAAAACAGCAAGCTCGGAAATCGACTTCCTTTAGCATTCAATTGTCTTTGCCCCAAATATCTTCCTGGGAATTTTGCTCAAAATCATTTCATCCTATATTAAAAAAAAAAAAAAAGAAAGAAAGAAACAAGATAAAACAAAACCCCCTAAAACCTCAGACTCACTGACTGCTCCTGGCAGACTTGGGTATTTTAATTTAGTACTGAAAGGACGGGTCTGCATTCTAAATTGGTATGGAGTGGGATATATTTATAAATCAGATTTTAAATGTGGCTGCTTTGTTCCCAGATATGAATGAACTACTTAAAACTCTAGACAATCAGAAAGAAACACCAAAGAGCTTAAGGCATTTGCTGTTTGCTCTGGCACGACAGAGTATGAAAAATGAAAGTGCAAGTGCAAGTCTTGGAATTCCAAGGACTATACTGTCCACAGAATTCTCCAGGCCAGAATACTGGAGTGGGCAGCCTTTCCCTTCTCCAGCAGATTTTCCCAACCCAGGAATCAAACCGCTTTGTAGGCGGATTCTTTACCAACTGAGCTATTGGTATACAGATACCTTAAATATGGACAGGTGCTGTGGTCAGCATTGGGCATCTGGACAGTTTAGGCCCTTTTGCTTTTCTCTAAATCCTGCAGCTTTGCCTCTCCCTAGCTTTCCAGCTGGTTCAGTGGTAAAGACCCCACCTGCCAATGCAGGAGATGCAGGAGACCTGGGTTCGATTCCTGGGTTGGGAAGATCCCCTGGAGGAGGGCCTGGCAGCCCACTCCAGTGTTCTTGCTGGGAAATCCCATGAAGGAGGAACGTGGAGGGCTACAATCCATGGGGTCGCAGAGAGTCAGCCTCTACTGAGCACGCACTCACACTCCTCCTGCCTCTCCCTGAGCTCCCATTTCCTTACCACCCCCCAAAGCATTGAAATTTTAAATTAGAATTTTAAAAACTGTTCAAGGAGAGTTGGCTTTTCTTGTGCAAACCATCATCCTGTTGGTTTTTGTTGAAATTTTGGGTGCACTTGATTGAAAGTAGAGATGCACAAAAGCCACCCAGACTTTCCCACCCCCACTGGGGGCCAATGGTCTCTAAGGCAACATTTCCCAGCCTGGGTCTCCCCCTCCTCCTGGAGAATATGCAGATGGGCTGGAACCTGCTCCATCATCTCTTCTAAGAGGGAGCCCTGTCCATCATCCTCTTCTACATTTACCCCTTCGACTAGACGAGCCTTGACCTTGCACTTCCTCCCTAGCCCGGAGGGCAGACTTACAGACTTTCAAGTTTAACCTAGTATTTCTCTGCCTTAAAAACTGAGCACACATTCACATCTTCAGATGGAACAGCAATCCACTGTTTGCCAAGTTCTTCCCACCAGCCAGAAAGGGCCAAGGTTCAAGTTCAACTCCACAGGCTTCCCCTAGTAATGACTTTGGATACCTGAGACCTGAGTAAATGCTTTTTTTTTTTCTTCTCAAATTGAGAGGATGCTGACCAGAGGTAGACACGGAGCAATACCAGAGGCTCAGGGTGGAATGCCTCAACAAGGGCGCTAACGTTGTGGCTCTTTGCTATCGGACTTCTCTGAACCTCTGTCTCCTCATCTGGGAAGTGGAGTAGTCAGACTCCCTCTCAAGCTAGTTACGAGGACCAAGAATTCCTTCTATCTGCTTTCTACCTCTTGCTACTCCTTCACAATATTTTGAAATACATGAAACAACCTTAAGACAAACAAAAAACGTGCTGATAATGATTTCTGATGATGAAACTAACAGGGGCAAGCACAACAGGCTCCCTACAAGGTCCGAAGAAGTAGCTCACGCAAAAAGCTTCCTGCAGACCAGGCAGCCTCAAACCTCATCTCCTTGGGAAGCTTAGCTTATGAACTAAAGGAGAAGACCCCATACCAATCAGCTCTTTACTGGAACCCCCACGACTCCGTTTCATAGCTGCATTGTCTGCCCTAGAGCCCTGGGGAGTAGTCAGCCCAAAGCCCTCCTTTATAGAGATGCAGATGCTGATGCTCAGAGTGGGCGTGGCTGACCCAAGGGCGTGCGCTGGTTGGTTGCAGAGGCAGGAGCTAGTCAGAGCTCCGTCATCTTCTGAGGATCACCCAGACGCAGCCCACACTGCCATGACAAGGCTGGGCATGGGACACCCTGAAGGACACGTTACAAAGACAGGGGTGTGGTCCTGGCTAAGGCACAGGTCCCTTTGCCAGACGGGAGGCAGGATGAAGCCTCAGGCCCTGTCCTCTCAGACCCCTTTGTCCTCACTGCCACCTTCTCTGGAACTGCCCAAACCTCCCAGCCTTCCCGCCTCCTACCTGGCGTCAAGGACCTTTCAGTTTTGTTCAGAACATCCTCTGTTCACCGACTGGGAATAAGTCTGAGAATTCCAAGGGAGTGGTTGCCACGGCAACAACAACCTCATGGAAGGTTTCAGAACTTTTGCCTCCTACTCCTAGTACTGCAGAAGCTCAGAAAGCATAAGGCATAAAGACGAGTGCTAATTATCTGACCTGAATTTGCTGGGGTGGGCAGAAGAAAGACAAGTGCACAGCAGTCTGGCAGACACTCCTCATCGGCACTCGTCCAAATCACTTTCTGGAAGGGAATCACTGTCAGATTATTACCATTTTCTATTAGAGGTGGCACCAGGGATCAACAGAGGATCATTTGTCTTGTGCCGTGCAAGGCTCACCCTCGCGCCTTGGAGGGGGCAGAGCTGTTTTCTGGGACTGCTTTTTGGTCAGCCTGGCAGGAAAGATGGGCACATGGATTAGGAGGTCTCTGTGCCTGCGAGGTTGGGGGAGGGGCAGAGTAGCCCATGAGCATCCTTAGCATTGAGGCAGAATCCCAAGCACATGGACTCAGATGCCTGAGAGCCAAAGCCAGCCAGGCAGGTAGACATTGTGCCGTGAGGCTAAGGGTTGTCTCTAGTGATGGAACCCAGACAGGAGGGGGCTCGACTCCATTCTGGGAGTACATGGACCTGGGGAGACAGAAGACAGGAGTCAGGCCCTCTGCTTGCTCCCCGCAGTGGACACGACTCTGGGCATGGTTTTCCATATGGTCTGTCTGGTGGCATCTCACTGGTCTTGAGACGGTCCATCTGTCAAGCTGTGCTCAGGTAGCTGAAGTCTGCTACAAAGCAAGGCCAGGAGGTACCACATCACTCTGTTCTCGCTCCCCATCTATTTCAGGGTCCTCTTCCTTCTTTCTCTCTGCCCTGGAATTTCACATTTCAGTAGGACCTTGGCCCTCAAGCCCTGTCTCAGCTGCTGTCTAGGGCTTTTGTGTCAAGACAAGACCCTCCCCTGTGCCAGGAACTGTTGTGAGCACTGGGGTAAATAAATACATCAACTGGGCTTCCCTGGTGCCAATGGTAAAGAATCTGCCTGCCAAGGCAGGAGACATGGGCTTAATCCCTGGGTCAGGACGACATCCTGGAGTAGGAAATGGCAACCCTTTCCAGTATTCTTGCTTGGGAAACCCCATGGACAGAGGAGCCTGGCGGGCTACAGTCCGTGGGGTCACAAAGAGCTGGACATGATGCGGTAACTAAACAGCAACAAATATGTCGGCATGAAAGGAAGCCCTGTGATCCCATGAAGTGGACATCTTTGAGGGCCAGCAATAGACCTTCTGAGGTGAATGCAAGCTGGAACTTATTACAGCTCCCGCACAGTGATGGCTGGTTTTAAAAGGCTGGAGAAGAATTAAGAGAGGGTCAGGTTTCTAGTATTTTGACAGCAATTTTCAGCATCAGTGATAGGGTGATGCGGGAGATGATAGGTGGGGCTCTTGAACTGCATTCCAGCCGGGAGAAGGCTGTGTGCCTCAGGGGGCCCCGGAGAACATCACCAGGGCTACTCCCCATCCCACCAAATAGGCTGAATAGGTAAGAGGCTTGAGCTAAGTTAGAGTGTTTTTAGAGCGTGACTGTGGAACCATCTAAGCTTCCTCTCCAACTCCCCCAACACGCACACACACACACACACACACACACACACACACACGATGTCATGGACTTAGCCAGGGATGGATAAGTACCATACTTATCCAGCATGGGGGCTCTGTCGACCCTCTGCCACGAGTTCTCTTCATGGCCACAATCCCTTGGAGACAGCTGCCAGGCCAAAGGTGGTACCTGCTGAATGCAGCCCAAAGGTCCTGGGGTCACCTCAGCCCATTGAGAACAGAAGGGCCTGGTCACCGGGGCTTTGATCTCCTGACACAGGTAGGATGTGCCTTCATGGTCTTAGCCAGAGAGGCCAGCTTCTCATCCATAAGAGATGAGTGCTCTGGTCCAGAGTGCTCTGGGTTCCTCTCCCCCAGCACACCACTCCACATTAGTACTCACAATGACGAGCGTTTCTTCCAAGGATGCTTGTGGGATGGGAGTGGAGAGACAGAGCCTTCAGGAGTCAGCTCCATGGATGATAAAAATACAGCTCACAGTGTAAGCCGGGAAATCCTTTTAGACGCTGCCTGGAAGTACCCTTCTGTGATGTTCACTGTCAGAGACCGGCTCTACGCAGACATGCTAAACCAAGGCAGGCGGGGGCCCTCAGAAGCCACTCTCACTTTCCCAATTAGCGTAACTTTGCAGGCCCAACAAATCATGAGACTGAAATGCCTCTACTGGAAGGTCTTAACCTTTTAGGCTGACATTAAATTGGAAGAAACTGCTCGTGTTGGAAATAATTACCGCTGATAATGAATACAATTAAGCATAAAAGAATCCTTGTAACTCCGGTACCATTTGCGCACTTAGGAATGGGCTCATATTTTTCCCTCCACAGATGTTACAATAATGGTGTCAACACTTTTATTTCTTTGTCCATAAGCTGAAAATTATGGCTGTTTCATAAATCGCTCACGTGCTAAGAAGAAGGGGGCCCAGCTGTGGAGCACATGAGCTCGGGCTCCTGCCCCGGCCTCATGTTTCACGGTGACCTCAGCTTCCTGTGAGCAGTGGGGACCAGCGCGAGTAAGTACTTGTAAAACTGTTTTTGAAGAGTGGAGTTATGAAGAGGTGCTGCAGTGTCGAACATCTGCTTCATCCATTACACTCACATAGGAGCCCGGAATGTACAGTAGGGGCAAGAAACATCAATAAATTAAAATTCTCCTGTGAGCACACTTTCCAAGCATATGCCAATTTGAAGCAGGACAAAAAAAAAAAAAAAAAGATGCTAAACAAGGGAAGAGAGATTTTTTTTTTTTTAATGGCTCAATCGGCCTGAACTGGTTTGAACAGTAATCATTAGAATCTGGTTTTCTTTGTGCAACTGATGGACTTTGTCAAAATGAAAGTGTTTTCCTGGCTCCACGAGACAATGAGGGTTCTGCTACCTTTGGAAACCATGCCATGATACACTCTTCATCAAAAAATACCAAAGGATGAAAGAAAAATAAATAAGCGTCGTTCTAGTTAAGTGCATAGGTTACAGATGGCATAAACACTCAAACAGCTATTTATTATGCCTGCAACTCAGTACTGTTCATTATGTGAACGTGTGTCGCTGCATGGGGAACACACATTTCATCAAAAATGACGTATGTCTTAATTATGAAAGAAAAATACATGGAAATCTAAGAACGTCTTAAGGTTTTTAAGTGGGCTGTTCCAAGTTGGTTTTCTAAAGAAGCAGTTTGGTTTGGGGACGTGTTCCTGCTGTGTTCACACGCAGGGTCTCACCACCCCTGCTGACCGAGAGCCAGGCCCATCTACGCTGCCCAAGGCGGGGTCAGGAAATTGGAAGTGGAACGCTCCATAATCCTTGCAGCCTTCCCCTCTGTCCAGGCTTCTTCCCCCTCACATCATATATCAGAGACAGTCCAGGCCACTCATAGCCTCACGTCATTCCTGGTACCCACGCCAGGTTTCTAAGCATGCAGGGGTGGGTGTGTACCCCGAGACGGGAGACATGTGCAAGGCAGTGTGTGCAGCCAGCCGCCGACATGGAGTGTGCAGCTTGCACTGGGGGACTCTGTGTGCTGGCGGCATCATGGAGAAACTCCATTCCAGGATGCCCAGGGTGACCAGTCTGCCCTTGCTGGCGTGTCTGGAGTGGACAACACTAATCACATCCCTTCCTGGGAAGCAATGGAAGGGCTCCTACGCTAGAGCACACACATCACCTGCAAACCACGCTCCTTCACAAAGTAATGATAAGCAGTTCTTAGGCCAAGAACTCTTGAGTTTTTGCCCCATTTGTCCCCTAAATACAAAAATCATATCTCCACACCTCCGTTTTCCTTATGTATAAAATGAGATGCGATCAATAAGGACTAAATTCAATCTTTGCATTTCCCTCTAAAATTCTGATACTAATCTGAGAAATGATAGATTAGAAAGCTTATTCACATTATGCAAAATTATTCCAAACAGATGGTGAAGTCAATTTAGAGGCTTTTTTTTTTTTTCCTGTCTCTAAGAACAAGTGCTGTTTTGGGGAAGGCAAGAGAGTAGATTTTAATCTCTTTGCCCTTTGAAATGACCATCAGCAACTTCCTTCCAATTACCTCTACCCTCTGACTGTGGTCCTGGGAGCTGGCTTTACAAGGAAGAGGCTGTTTGCCTCGCCTCCCCTGCCCAGCTATCCATAAAGCCACTGTTAGCCCACCTGCCCTCACAGCTCCTAATAGGTTTTTAAACAAAGTGAATGCTCAATACATATTGGTTTCAGAGTCATTGTTCTTAACGAAGCTCAAGCGAGGTTGCTCATTTAGGCAAGGCTGGGTTTGAATCTCAACTCCACCACTTGCTAGCTGAGTGACCTAGGCAAGCAGTGTAAAATACCCCAATACGCATGACCTTCAACATGAAAATGTGGCTAATTTTGTCTTGAGGATCGTTGGGAGGGTTGAAGGAGCCAGTGCAGACATATCAGCATCAGCATGTTTCCTGGGACACAGAGGTGCTTTCTAGCAAAGCTTATTATTGTTGTTGTTGTTGTTGTTAATATTTTAATTGTGAGCTTGTAAAAGATTTCTTGCCAGTTTTTTAACTCTCTCTTATCCAACTGCCTTGGTGTAGTTACAGTTAAACAATCTGTTTCAGATAAAGACACATATGAAAGTCAACCTAAGGGGGTACAGTAGCCCATAGAATCAGTAGTTTTTGAAGCTTTGGTGTACAGAGGAAAATCCATACGTGCCACACTTCCTGAGGAAAACTGGATAAATAAATGCTTGTGGATGAATGCATGAGAAGAAGTACCATGGTGGCTGAATTGGAGCCAATGCCTTCCAAAGTTATTGTGGCCCAGAAAAGCACTGGAGAAGCCAGAGGTGCATGCGATGTGACAGCGTGAGTCCTGGTGTCACCCTCTTGACACCCTGTGCCTCATCTCTCGGGCATTCCTTGAGTTCCACACACACACACAGGTCCCAGATGTCACACGCAGAATCTGAAGGGGTCCCTCTGCCTGACATGACTGCATGTTCTTAAGAGGGCAGTGTAAGGACACTGCCAAAGAATAAGAGTACTTGAGTTAAACTCTAATAGTGGAGTTGACATTTCCAACTATAATTATGTAATTTTTCATTTCTCCTTTCAGTTTTACCAATTTTTGTTTATGTATTGTGAAGCTGTTTTTAAGTATATACATTTAATAAAATTATATCTTCTTGATGAAGTAGCCTCTTTATTGTTATTTAATGCTTGTCTTTGTCTCTGATAAGATTATTTTACCAAAGTTTACATTGTCCAGTATTAATGTAGCCACTTATTTTATTTTTTGACTAGTGTTTCTTGGTATTTACCTTCTCATATATATATATATGTATATATATTTATATATTTTTTTACTTTTAACCTTTATGTGTCTATATATTTAAAAGGTTTTTTTTTATAGATACCATATAGTTAGGTCTTCCTCTTTCATCCAATCTGACAATCTCTGCCTTTTAATTGGGACGTATAAACCATTTACATTTAATAATAATTAGTGATATGATTGGATTTGAATATACCACATTGACAATAGTTTTCTGTTTGCCCTGCCTACTTTTTGTTCTCCTTTTCATCATTTCCTGTCTTCTTTTGGAAGTGGTTTTATGATTTCATTTTATCTTCACAATTGGCTTGTTAGATACACCACTTAAATAGCTTTTAGAGGCTACTCTAGGGTTTGTAATATACATCTTTATCTTATCTCAGTCAGCTTCAAATACTGTTATAGCACTTCAAGTGAAGTGCACTCATCTCATAACTGTCAACAACTTTTAATTCTCTCCCATCTCTTGTGTTAATGTTTTACACATATTTTTCTACATGTAATAAACCCATGGCAAACTTTTTTCCCTTCAGTTTGGATAATTTCTATTGGTCTAACTTCAAATTCACTCTTTGTTTTCACTGCTCTGTTCTGTCTGCTAATTTGTCAGTTGAAGAAAGTTTTGTCTCTTATAACATGTTTTTTCCTAGCATTTCCATTTGGCTCTGTTTTGTAAATCTCAATCGCACAGCTGAACTTCTTCTCATTGTTCATGCAAATTTGTCCCCTTTTCCACTAGACCGTTAATATATTGACTACAGTTATTTTGCAGCTCCTCCCCATTAGTTTCAACTAATGGTTGAACTCTGGGTTCAACTCTGGGTCTATTTCTGTTGACTATTTTACCTCTTGAAGGGTTGTTCTCCCTTTGTTTCTGTGTGAGCATTTTGCAATTTTTAGCTAAAGGAAGGATATTAAGCATAGAGGAGTAGAGAATCATGAGGTAAAACGTGTTTATGCTCAAAACGGGCTTGCTCCTTCCCTTGTCAGTTCATTATTGTGGAGGACTGAGTCAACCCAGTCATTAGCTGAGTTGCATGGCTTTGTTACCATGGTTACGTTTAATGCTCCACAGACGTGAAATCCTCCCCTGGTGCGCTGCTGCAGTCTTTTTTTCTGTCTGAACCTTGGCTGCTGCCTGAAAGTTTTTCAGTTTTCCTGTTGTATCTCTAGCTTTCAACACCCACTTCTGCAAACTGGGGATCTCTCTTCCTGGTCTGCACCCCACAGTGGTAGACTATTTTTGCTTATATCTGGCGCAAGACGCAGGGTGAGATTAGGGGATGGTACTCAGCTCTCCCGGCCTTGTTTCAGTCTTAGGAAAGTGCTGTATTTCTGTCTACTAAGGGTGGGATTTCCTTAGTGTTTCTACCTCTCCCTCACCACGGGCAGTCAAATTTTGCTGCGTATTTGTAAAAGTATCTTTGGTGAGGTAGAATTTTCCTGTCAGTGCAGGGAGAGATTTATCTTGTTTCTATCTCTTCTGTGGAGGCAAAGTGGGGCTTTGCTCATGTCCTGTGTTCAGGGTAGGAAATTCCTATTCCTTCCTTAGTGGTTTAGAATTTTTCCTTAATCTGAGAGAAGGTTCTGGGGAGTAGGATTTAGTGCATATGTGCCAATGAGGGGACCCTCACCCAGTCTTTCTTGTAAGTACCTAGTATTGGCCCTCAGAAAACAGCTTATGAGGGACTGTGGTCTCCTTTTGTGTCTGGGGATTTAAAATTCTCATTGCCACTCACACTTGGTCTCCAAGACTTTCTTAAGATTTCAACTTTTTTCTTCTTCCTTGCTTTCATGGTGTCTGCCTCTTCTCCCCGGGTGCCAAAAGTGAAACCATTAGTATGTCTTACATTCCCTAGAAGAGACTTGTCACTATTCAGAACTCAGTTTACCTAGTTGTCCTGTGACAATAGCTCAAGGCAATGTAAGATTTGTAGATTATGCCATGTTTTTTTCTCATCATCACGGTGGGCGGAGGCTTTCCATACCCTCAACGGAAGCAGAGCTCCCAGGCAGCTGTTGCTCAGTTGCTGAGTCGCGCCCAGCTGTTTGCGACCCCGTGGGCTGCAACAGGCCGGGCTTCCCTGTCCTTCACCATCCCCCAGAGTTTAGGTCCTGATACAGGGAAAGACTGAAGGGAAAAGGAGAAAAGGGCAGCAGAGGGTGAAATGGTTAGGTAGT